CTTTGTCTTTGCTTGCATCTCACATCTTCCTAACCCATCCACCCAGCACATTTGGTCCCTGAAATTGAGATGTATTTAGAGTCTGCCATGCTTTTTCACTAAATGACCATTGATTCAAGGTTAGCAAGATTAACATAAAATTCCAATTGTAAGTAATAAGAATCGGTTTTTCCACGATAGTGTGTGGATGTATTTTTTATTTTGTTTCTGACCTATTAGGTTAAGTGTAAATTTAAATTTTCTCCATGTGCATATATATATATATATATATATATATATATATATATATATATATATATATATATATGTGTATATATCATGTGTAGTTTGGCTTACTTCGGGTTTTTGGTAACTAGTGTGATTCTAAAGTAAATGCTTGATAAAAGCCAAGAAAATGAAGAAAAAAATTTATGTTCTTCTTTTTGTCTTTTATTTTATTTGAAGGGTTTTAAAAGAGGATTGGTCACCCAAGCATCTAATTCAAGTCCACCCCCATCATGAAGTGACTTCATCTTTGTTTGCACCTCCTCCCATCACCCTGACCCATTCAACCCAGTGCATTTGGTCCCTGAAATCAAGATGTATTTAGAGTCTACCACACTTTTATTGGGTAAGTATTCCACAGTCAGAATGTCGCTGACTAAACCCCTCTCAAAGTACTTGCGAGCGAGGTGGCTCGTTAGCAAGTCAGTAGGATGAAAAATAAGACCTAATAAAAGGCAGAAGAACTCTTGATGAGTCAATGGCCAGCTAATTAGAGGTGGTGTCTCCATAAACTACCATGGAGAAGGCAATGGGAAACCACTCCACTATCAATCCCAAGTAATATCATGGCAAATAACCCACACAATATGAACCCTAATGGTGTGAAATGGGTTAAGTCTATGGGAATTAATTCCTCACCCAGTAAGGACCAACATGTGCAACATGTGTCACCTGACTGTCATCCAGTGACTGATAGTACAAATGGTGTAAAGGGGATAAAAATCCTCAGAACCTATCCCTTGCCAAGAAAAGAGTGACATGAATATCAGGTGTCACCAGACCATTATCTTGTGACTGCTTGCTTCAAACAAAAATAACTCTTAGGACATTCAACATTTGGATGTTGAACGACTGCAGCCAGTTAGATAATGTAAAACAATAGATGAGTAGGCTAAAAATCAACATATTAGTGTATGTGAAACTAGATGACCAAACAATGGAAATTTTGTCAATGACAATCACAGGCTAAAGGAGTAGGATTGATGCTAGATCAAGAATTCAAGAAATGTGTTCTGGGATACTACGAATTATTCAAAAGAATTCTGGTAGTCAAGCTGAAAGGAAAGCCTTTCAACATAACTGTCATAATAGTGTATGCACCGACTGCACAAAGTAATGAAAGAAAAAATCGAATCTTTCTACTCCATGCTAGACAGTGCCAAGGCATATTGCAAATTGCAAGAAGTCATAATTATTATGGAAGATCTGAATACCAAAGTACGCAGGGAGAGGGTAGGGGATATAGCCAGAAAATTTGGACTAGGAACCTGCAATGAACATGAAGAAAGTAGCATGGTTCCAAGAACATCCGGGAAGATTATAGTCATGGAGGAGATTAGGAGAAGAAACTAAAAAACAAATTGACTGCATAACTATCAACAAAAGATTCAGGAATGCAATGGTTCATTTCAAAACCTACCCAAGTGCTAAGTGCAGAAGCGATCATTGCCTTGTTATATGTAAACTAAGAGTGAAACTATGGAAACTGAAGAAACTTAACACAGTGTCCAAATTGCAATACAACAAATTCCTGAGCAACCCATATCTGAAAGAAAACTATATGGACAGTTTGAAAAGAAGATATGAGAGACACTATGGAAATGGAAATTTGAAATGGGATATACTAAGAAAAGGTTTAGTGATATCAGCAAATGATACCATCCCAAAGGAGAATGGACGAAGAAGAAAAAAATGAATGGATGACTGATGAGATTCTCAACATATGTGAAGGAGACAGAAAACTCTGCTAAGATACAGAATAGAATACAAAAACTACACAATGAGATAAGGACCAAATGCAGGCAGGTGAAAGAAGAGTAGCTGAACAAAAAAAGAGATGAGTACCACCAACAAAGGAGATATGCATAAACAAATAAGAGAACTAACAGGACAGAAGATATGCTCATCAACAGGCTGCATAAAATCAAAGGATGGAAGGCTCATATTAGAGAAGAAAAAGATTCTTCTGAAATGAATATATTGGAGAACTCTTCCATGATGAGAGAGAACAACTGGCAATACACAGAACTACTGACAGGTCTGAAATTCTAAAAACTGAAGTCAAAGCTGCATTGGAAAAATTGAACAGAAACAAGGTGGCAGGGCCAGATGGAACTGTAGCAGAAATGCTGAAAGCCTGAAATGATTTTGGCATAGACAAGATTAGAGAAATAATAAATGAAATGTACAACAGTGGTGATATACCGGAATATCTCAGCAGATCTATTTTCATGGTACTGCCTAAGAAACCAGGTACAAACAAATGTGAACTCCATCGAACAATCAGCCTAATGAGCCACATAACAAAACTCATCATCCATATTCTGATTAATAGTGTGGGTTCGTTAAAGACACTGAAACAAGGAACACAATATTTATGCTCAGAATATTATTAGAAAGAGCAATACAAATGCAGAAGAATGTGCACCGATGTTTTATAGACTACACAAAGGTGTTCAACAAAGTACGCCACAAAGATTTGTTGGAACTGCTTGGCAACCTTGATATATTTGGGAAAGATATTAGAATAATCAAGGACATATACTGGCAACAAATGGCCTGGATGTAGATAGAGAATACATTCAGCAGATATACAAAAATAGAAAGGGGTGTGTCACTGGACTTATTCAACCTATATATCATGGCAATTTTGAGAGAACTGGAAATCCTACCAGAATTCTTCATTGGTGGCCACAATCTTGACAACATAAGATACACAGATGACACAGTGCTGATAGCAGACATGGAAAGGAAATTACAAAACCTCCTACAGAAGGTAGCAAAGGAGAGCGAGAAGAAGGGACTAAGCATAAACTACAAGAAGACATGGTCATTCTGTAAAAAGATGAGCCCAAAAAACAAGCAGGTGCTGAAATTTAAATATCTGGGAAGTGTTCTGACAGAGGATGGTAAGTGCAATGCTGAGATCTGAAGATGTATTGGGATGGCCAAAGACACATTCCAAAAGCTAGGCAGATTATTACGAGACAAGAGGATTTCGCTAGTAACAAATAAAAGAGCACCAATTTGCTACATAATATCTGTCCTCCTTTGCAGCAGTGAGTGTTGGATGGTCTCTTCAAAAGATGAGTAAGAGAATCGAGGCAACGGAGGTATGGTTCTGCAGAAGGATACTAAGGATACTATGGACCAAACATGGGAGCAACGATGTGGTTTTGGAAAGGATGCAAACAAGTAGAAGGTTATACTTAATATCAGGAAGAGGCAGCTGAAATTCCTGGGACATGTAATGAGAAAGGAAGACTAGGAGAATCTGATACTCACAGGACGGATAAAGGGAAAGAGAGACAAGGGAAAGTAACACATGACAAACCTAGTGGGCTTAACAGAATAGGGTTTGGGAGAAGTAGCAAAAGGACAAAATATATTGAAAGCTACAAGGAATAGGGAGAAGTGGAGAGCCATAATCGCCTATGATCTGAAGGGACACAGCATATAAAAGAAGAAGAAGTTGATAGAGGATTCCTTTTCTCTTTTTTTATACTGAAAATGAAATTAATAAAATGTACAACAATAACGTACAACAATAAAACTTTGTTATGATCCAGAATGATGATGATATTTCATCATCAATCGTTATTGGTGGAAAGGTTGTTTTTAGAATGATGAAATATCATCATCATTTTGAACTATAATAGAAGTTCCCCAATAAGTATGGAATGATTTAATAATAAAAATAATCAGCATCATTTATCATCTATGGTGGAAACGTTGTTTTTAGTATGATGAAATATTTCTCTTTATTTCCAGGATGATGAAATATCCTTATCATCAATCATCACTGGTGGAAAGGTCTTTTTTAAAATGATGAAATATCATCAGCATTCTGGATCATAACAACTTTGAAACACGTGTTGAAACTAATGACAAGAATGTGTATTTTTCTTTTTGTGAATGTTATTTACCATATTGGTTTTGTATGTGTTAAATGTTCTTGGTGTTATTGTCTGTTTTTGTTTATTTAAAATTTATAATTGTTCTGAAAATTTTGTGGTTAAGGGAAGCATTTGAAACCATCAAATCTGGATTTTCATGGCGCGAAGAAGATACATTTGTGTTCTTTTTTACTACTGCTACTGCCACTAGCTTGTGGTGGACAGGTCATTTTTATAATGATGGACTTTCAGATCTTTATTTCTAGAATGATGAAATACCATCATCATCATAAATCATGGTAGATCTAATCCTATTTTGAGGTATTTTCCAAAGAACAAAAAGGACACATTTTTAGTCGTTTATTCTTTATACAAGATTCAATAAACTGGAAAAAGAATGATTTTGACATCTGTTTTTTTTAAAGAATAATGAATAACAGAATGCTCCAAAAATAATGCATTAGATTTTTAAGTAAATCTGTTGTATGTGAGTGCTATATTTAATTTTTCATGTTTTTAAATTTGTGTAGTTTGGCAACTTATGTTTATTTTGTTGGCTCATACTGAGATTTCTTGATGACAGCCTGGGCTGGTTTTTACCTTGCGGGGTGTCTTATCTGTGGCTTGGGGCACTACAGTTTTGTAATCATTATACTAAGATATTAGTAAACAAGTCTGTATGCTTTTACTTGATAAATAAAAATTTTATTAATCAAGGTTTGAAGTCACATGGCATCTATCTATCTATTTATCTATCTCGGTATTTCTATCTATATGCATATGTGTGTGTGAATGGTATCTACCTATCTATTTTATTCTGGTCATGTTTATCTATTTCAGTCTGTTAATATCTATCTATCTATCTATCTATCTATCTATTTCAATCTGTTCATATCTATTTATCTATTTCAGTCTGTTAATATCTATCTATCTATCTATCTATCTATCTATCCATGTATATATCTAAGTATATATTTCTATGTTTCTATCTCTATGCATGTATGTGTTTGTGTGTGTTTGTGTATTTGCATGGTATCTCTCTCTCTCTCTCTCTAGCTGTCTATATATTTCAACCTGTTCATTATCTATCTATCTATCTATCTATCTATCTATCTATCTATCTATCTATCTATCTATCTTCATGTTTCTATCTATATGAATGTATGTGTGTGTGTGTATGAGTGTGCATGGTATCTCTCTTTCTCTCTCAATCTATTTGTGTGTTTCTGTATATGCATGTGTGCATTTATAGATGGAATTATTTTTTGTATAATTTAGCATATCATTTGTTCAACAATGCATTAAGATATTACCAACCACCATACTCAACTTTCTCTTTCCTTTTTCTCTTTTCTGCTTTCTTTGCACACACACACACACACACACACACACACACACACACACACACACACTGACACAGAGCATGAATTCACAAGTCAACATAACTCAGTGTTTGAGTTTACTATCTTTATCCAGCTATTGATCTCACCATTTTATGCATTAAATGTGCATTAAGTGCATGTATGTATGTGCATATGTATGTATATGCACATGAATGTATATGCACATGTATATATGTGCATATGTATGTATGTATGTACATATGTGTGTATATGCATATGTAAGTATGTGCATATGTAAGTATGTGCATATGTATGTTTATATGTATGTTTGTGATGAGGTATACATACGTACATGTATATGATCTGAAAAAAAAAAGTGATTAACGAAAACAACAGAATAATTTTTTTAAGTTGTTTGGGAAAATCTTCTCGACTATATACCCAAAACACATATATTAGAGAAAACAAAAATTTTAAATTTAAATTTTAAATTTCAGCATCCCATCTCCTCCTTGCGCATGTGTAATCACATCAACATAAACATCACATTAGTCTGATGAAGTCCTAAAGCACATAGTGCATCACACAAAAAATTCTTTTCCACTTTGTCATAGATTTTCCTAAAATTTCATTGACTACAAAAAGGCATTTAACTATGTAGAACATGCAGAAGACTTTCATCCCCTCTGAGAAAAGTATATTAAGAAAAAACTATATGAATGTAATTGAGAATATATGACATGTTCGATGGAGTAGGGGTGTATTCTACAAAAATTCAAAAATTGCTTTTTACACTGCAAATTATTCACTATATCATATCCAAACTGATTACACAATATCTCAAGCTCAATTTAGGTTTACACTTCGTAACCATGCAATGAGATGAGGTAACATAAACTGTAGATTTGTCTGCGGAATATCATTACGTTATTGTTACATAATTATAGTGCAATCATTAATGTTTTTGTCAAAAGTATTTTATTTTTGGTCGTATATTAATTTAAAATCTTCCTTTTTACAGAATTTATTTCTGAACATAGAATAAGATCATTCTAAATTTAAAAATTTCACTATTGCCCATCAAAATGACTGAAAGAAATCAATGTAAAAACAACAATGGAAAAGAGAGGTAACAAAGTGTAAACAAAATAGCTCCAGTTTGTTCAACTTAGAAAACCCAGTATAGCAGCCAAAGTATTCTAAAATGCTGCCAATAACAAAGGAGAAATTGAAAAATACCTAACAACAAATCAAATATCGCATCAAAATTTATATTATTTTTATTTATATGCTATATAACTAAATACATAATTGTCAACAATGTTTCCATAAAACTTGATATTTCCTGTAATAAATTCTTAATAAATATTATTTTTATTATTTTACTTAAGCGTGTATTGCTAAAAAATTATCAAATGTTGAATATGGCTCTCCTCGGCTGAACGTGTCATATATGATGACAAAACTGCAATAATTTGATAAAAGACAAAGATAAAATAAAGGACATTTTACAAGTTATTTACAGCAAAACTTGATGGTACCTACTGGAAAATGATTTGCTGATAACATTTTACTAATATCCGAATCATCAGATGAACTACATTAAATGCTAAATGTCCTAAACAAGGAAAGTTTGAATGTAGGTTTAAAAATAAATAAAAATAAAACAGAAGTTACTTTCAACTGTGACATTCCAAAAATACATTATAAAAATAGAAGCTGAAAAACAGAAAGACATCACAGAAGGCATAGTCTTAGAACAGATCATGAGAATGAAAGATGCATAATGATAGGGCTAAGGCATTTAATAAAAATAAAGACATCATGAAAAACACCTTCCTAATATGCTTAAAATATAAAGTGAATGAACAAGAAAATTTCATTAGAAACAAAAAGAAAAAGAAAAAAGAGTACTGAACTGTTATGTAATATCAGTTTTCCTATATAGCAGTGAATACTAGACAGTTGCCTGACTGATGAAGAAGAGACTTGAAGCAACTGAATTGTGTTTCTAAATAAGGATGCTGAGAATACCAAATACTGAATCATGTGAGCAACAACAAAGTTTTAAAGGCCAAAAAACTGTCTCATCGGTCATGTACCATGCATGGCACATAACTGACTGATATATACCAGATATACAGTGAGTGCAAAAATGTAGATATCTGTGAAGCATTTTAATAGAGGATGGAAAATGTGATACCATAATCCAAAAGTACATTGGGATAGCGAAAGATGCCTTTCAAAGACTAAGCAAAGTATTAAGAAACAGGAGAAGTACTGAACTACTGAAATTTAACATAATATTGGTTCACCTATATGGCAGTGAATGCTGGAAAATCGCCTCACAGATGAAGAAGAGACTTAAAGCAACTGAAATGTGGTTCTAAAGAAGGATGCTAAGAATACCATGGACTGAACATCTGAGCAACGATGATGCCTTAGAGAAAATGAAAACATTTTCATTTTTAGGGACGGTTTCTGTTTTATTCTAATGTTCATCCTAAATATGTCAAGGTTACCTAGTAGTTCCAACAATTCTTTATGACGTACTTTATCAAATGCTTTTGCATGAATTGGGAGTCAGATTACTTTATATTTAAGTGATGTAATGGAATAACCTGTCACCCCCATGAGTGACTACACTATAGGTAGTAACTACCTATAAGTATATGTAAGTCAACAGACTACAGAGTCTAGCTGGGATCTGTTGAGTATGATGCAGACTTATGTGAGAACTACCGATCTTCCAATAGTAGCACTCACTACTGGATTGATTGCGATGACCTTGTGCATAACTGTTACCTTTATTCTTATTGTATTAGTTTTTACAATAAACCTTTACTTATTTATCCATCTTGTTTTTCAAGTATATATTCTTATTATCATGGAATATGACATTAAGTGATTAACTTAAAATAAAAATTCACAAATAAAAGACTGTATCTCAGGAGAATTCATTGTTATTTTGTAATTAATTCCTAGCCCAGTAACTGTTCATTGTTTATTAGGCGTTCCATAAATGAGGTTTTGTTGTAGCTTGTTACAAATGTCTAAATTAACATATTTGATTTAGCATAAATATTTGTTGGTTTGTTTAGTCGACTTCTGTTGTCCTTATTTTTTTTACGGCTTGTTAGTTTTGTTCTCTTTCCATCATCAGCTGGCATAGGATATCAGATTTAGATTATTTTATATATCAGATGTAAAGTGAGTGCAAAAATGTGAATATCTGAGGAGCATTTTAATAGAGGATGGAAAATGCGACACCGTAATCCAAAAGTAGATGTGGATGGTGAAGATGCCTTTCAATGCCTAAGCAAAGTATTAAGAAACAGGACTAGTACTGAACTAGCAAAATGTTGCATAATATTGGTTCACCTATATAGCAGTGAATGCTGAACAATCACCTCACAGATGAAGAAGAGACTTAAAGCAACAGAAATGGAGTTCTAAAGAAGGATGCTGAGAATATCATGGACTAAACACATGAGATATGAGCAAACAGAAACAAAAAGGACAGTTATACTTAACATCAGAAAAGATAATTGAAACTTCTAGGGTACATAATGAGGAAAGAGGGTTTGGAAAATTTAATACTCGCAGGGTATATTGAAGTCAAGAGGGATAGAGGAAAACAAAGCATAGGTAATCTAGAGAGCTTGAGTAAATGAATGGCAGAACAAGGTTTAGGAAAGATAACAAAATGATAAAATTTATTGAGAGCTACAAAGGATAAGAGATTTTGGAGAACCATAAAGTTTGGTTATGTGGTTCAGTAGGCTGATTGGAATTTACATTCCTTTGTGCCTGGTTTCTTAGGCAGTGCTATGAAAATATGTCTTCTAGTATATCACCCTTGTTATATTTTTCATTTATTATGTCTGTCATCTTGTCTGCTGAATTCATCTAAGTCTGCAAACATGTCTATTACAATTCCATCTTGTCCTGCCACTTTGTTTGTGTTCCATTTGGCCAGTTCTGATTTTGCTTCAGATTTTAATATTTCTGATCCTTTGATATTTCTGTGTATTGTGAGTTGTCCTCTTTCATTGTTGTTATGGGACCTTACCCATAATAACATAATGGACTATTCCATATGTAATAAATACTGTGCCTCAAGAGGAAGCAGAGAGTTCAGTCTGAAGTCGGGCGACCGGCTGATCGGCTGATCGGTTGAACTCTCTGCCTTTGGGCAGGGATGAACCCAAATGAGGCTACGCTGAAGGGCGGAGTCTCTTTTGGGGAGGTAAACCGACCCTGAACCCATTTATACGGGTTCAAATGGCATATTTTTGGCTGAGCCCACGGGCTTGGAGATCCCACATTAAACCGGCCTTGTGCCACATGATGTCCTCGTGCGGGGGGTGACTAAATACCGTTCTGTCTGAAGTCTGGAGTGAAGTCCGTCAGAAGTCTGTCAGTCAGTCAGAGCGAGCGAGTCAGTCAGTTGAGTCAGAGGCAGTGCGAAACAGAGTCACGTTCAGACAATTATTACAAGACATTGGAATAGTGATACTGGTCAAGACTACATTGTTTTCCCTACTAAACCTGATTGTTCATACTAACACTTTCTACTTTTCCGTATATATTCCTGTTTGTAATATATCTGTGTTATTCCATATCCGTGTTCGAGTTCTTTATTGGTTCTACCTTGGACTATCACCGTGGTACAAGGAACTGGACCATAACAATTGTGGAATTGTTCTCCAATATATCCCTTCTCTAAAATATTTCTTATTTCTTTAATATCAGTGTCTTAACTTTGAAATTTATGTATTTTGTTGATGAGCATGTCTTTTGTCATGTTAATTATCT